GGCCGAGGCGGGTGGATCACCAGGTCAGGAGATCGAGACCATCCTGGCTAACACGGTGAAACCCTGTCTCCACTAAAAATCCAAAAAAACTAGCCGAGGGCGGTGGCGGGCACCTGTAGTCCCAGCTTCTCGGGAGACTGAGGCAGGAGAATGGCGAGAACCCGGGAGGCGAAGCTTGCAGTGAGCTGAGATCCGGCCACTGCACTCCAGCCTGGGCGACAGAGCGAGACTCCGTTTCAAAAAAATAAAAATTAAAAAAAAAAAGTTGCATTGGATTTGGATAATTCTTAATTTTGTAGGACTGTCCTACACAGAACATCTGGCTCCTTTGGTTCCTGCTCATTAAGTGCCTGTAATTTTCCGTAAACATTGTGACAAATAAAAATACCCCCATAAATTTCTCAACCCTCAAGATAGGCGTCACTCCCATTGAGAACTATTGATGTGATTAATTAGTTTATGTTGTGAACTGTTATAAATACTATAAAATACATTATGAAAATGTATACATTCTGAAGTTGTTTTTTGAGTCATGCATGCACTGAAAGAATTGTGTTATAGATGCCATTTCCTTTTTTTTAATCATAAAACTCTTGTCTCCTTTTGTTTTTGCTTCTTAATGCAATATTTTAATTTCCTTTGTCTCTCAAGCCAATTTATGCTTATTGTACATCATTGTTAATTTTCAGTTATGATAACAGAAAATACAACAGCCAATGTTATCAGCAAAATCTTAATTATATCCTGTATTGGAAGTAGTGTAAGAAAATAGGAAAAAATGTGAATCACGAAGGTTGTCTTTTGAGAAATTGGCAAATATATATGACAAATGTGTCATTGAGGTCTTGACCAAGGTTAGTTTGTTGAGTGAAGATAATGCCTTTTATTTTTGTATGATTGTCACGTTTTGCTTCAAAGTCAAAAGGGGCTGCATAAAAAGATTTCTTTGTAAGCCTTTTCTGTGGAATGCTTCTGTTTGTAACCCTTATGGTAAGATATGATAGGTGAAGCTGAATGATAAATTTTAGCAGTTAATGTTATAGAAAGAAAAGGAATGGGCTGATACGTGGTACCGTATTACAGACCAATTTTAAGTGGTATGATTGCTTTCTCTATTTATACCTAAATGATCTGATTTGGCTTTTAGATGGAAATAATGAACACATTTTTGCTGAAGCAAATGAGAAAATGAGTATATTTTCAGGCAATGATCTAGGAATAAGTTTAAGAAACATTTTTTCTAGTTTCTAGTTATTGTTGAGAAATAAGAGCTCAATATCAATTATGTTAAGGACCTAAAGTAGTTTTAACAGGAATTTCCCAAAATTTGGATGTTTAATTCCAAACGTTGTCATCTAACTGATGAGTTGTTTTTTATCTGGTGTACATTTTGTAGTTATTTCACCCTGGTAAGCTGTCAGGAGGCTGAGCTGCTCAATTAGGTTTTAACAGAGGGGTTATGGCTAATCTCTTGTAGCTAAAATGAGCATTGATTAAAATCTGCTCTTAAGCTCTTTTGCCTCAAATTATCTCTGCCTTGTTTTGCTGAGTGCGAGCCCTGTTCAGCTGGACAGAGGCATTTGAACAGAGCCTAAGGTACTTTCTGATAGACCCATTGGTACTGTGTTATCTGTTCCTGCCTACACACTGTGTCCAGGAGAGCATCTGACAGGTTTCTCAGCTTCTAGAATCAAAGGAAAACTTCCGCCAAACTTATGATTCTCCCTTCTATCAGTGAAAAACCAAAAAAGTCCACACTCTTGTTTCTTGTGAGTGCAAGTGAATGTAAATTTGTTAGCTTAACCCACTCACATGCAAAGACCGGGTGAAAAAAAAAAAAAAAAAGAAAAAGAAACAACAACAACAACAACATTAGGTTGTTTTTTTCAAGTTTTTCTACTTTTTTTTTTTTTTGAGACAGAGTTTTGCTTATTTCCCAGGCTGGAGTACAGTGGTGTGATCTCGGCTCATTGCAACCTCTGTCTCCTGGGTTCAAGTGATTCTCCAGCCTCAGCCTCCTGAGTAACTGGGATTACAGGTGCGTGCTTCCACGCCCTGCTAATTTTTTGTATTTTTGTTAGAGACAGGGTTTCATCATGTTGGCCAGGCTGGTCTGAAACTCCTGACCTCAGGTGATCCACCTGCCTTGGCCTCCCAAGGTGCAGGGATTACAGGTGTGAGCTACCGTGCCCATTTTTTTTCACCGGTCTTTGCATGTGAGTGGGTTAAGCTAAACAAATTTACAATCACTTGCACTCACAAGAAACAAGAGTGTGGACTTTTTTGGTTTTTCACTGATAGAAGGGAGAATCATAAGTTTGGCGGAAGTTTTCCTTTGATTCTAGAAGCTGAGAAACCTGTCAGATGCTCTCCTGGACACAGTGTGTAGGCAGGAACAGATAACACAGTACCAATGGGTCTATCAGAAAGTACCTTAGGCTCTGTTCAAATGCCTCTGTCCAGCTGAACAGGGCTGCACTCAGCAAAAAAGGCAGAGATAATTTGAGGCAAAAGAGCTTAAGAGCAGATTTTAATCAATGCTCATTTTAGCTACAAGAGATTAGCCATAACCCCTCTGTTAAAACCTAATTGAGCAGCTCAGCTCCTGACAGCTTACCAGGGTGAAATAACTACAAAATGTACACCAGATAAAAAACAAACTCATCAGTAGATGACAACGTTGGAATTAAACCATCCAAATTTTTGGGAAATTCCTGTTAAAACTACTTTTAGGTCCTAACATAATTGATATT